GGTTCGGCGTCGGGTTCGGCGTCGGGTACGGCGTCGGGTTGGGCGTCGGGTTCGGCGTCGGATTCGGCGTCGGGTTCGGCGTCGGGATTGGCGTCGGGTTCGGCGTCGCACTTGAGTAGTAGATGTCAATGGTGATACTCTCGATGGCCATGCCTGCGCCGCTCATCCAAGGTGCGATTGAGTGCGTGCCCCAATACCACCCAGGGATGCCTGATGGGTATGTAGCGCTCGTCGCCGTGCATGAATAACAATAGTTCTGGTTGCACTGGCAAGCGATATTCTGGCTGCAAGTGCTCGAAGAGGCCGTGACTCCTGCCATGGTCATCGAGAGCGTGCCCGACGAACAGATATCCCCCTGGGCTCGCACGGAGAAGTGGGTCACGACCGCACCCCCGCCGGGGTCTGAGATAGACACGGATGGAAAACTCGAAGGTGACCCCACTACGTACTGATGTGCGTACCTCCCGCACGTCAAGCAGCTGGAGCCAGGGGCCAGCGCCTGATAGCTCAGAGGGGTCTGGCGCGACGAGCTGTTCCTAGGCGCGTGCGTCAATTCTGCTGCAAAAACTCGCACTTCAATGTAATTGTCATCGCGAGTCTCCCCATGCGGGGCCTGCACCGCGATGGATGTCGCACTGAGCATGCTGTGGGCAAACATCACCACCAACCATGCTGTCCACGGCGCCATGTTTGCTGCCATCCGGCCAAACAGAACGAGATGAACTCGCCTGTGTACGTGGACAGGTTCGGATGGAAGTGGCTGCTGGAAGCCAGCTCGCGTAATCAATTTGAGCAAAGAGCAAATGGCACGGAAAGGTTCGCCCCTGAAGTTGCCGAGGCCTTCCCGGACCAGCCGAAAGCAGGCAAATCTTGACTCGGGCCAGCACATATCCAACAAAATGAATGTCATCATGTTCTCCTCATCCTTCCCCTCACCCTCGTCCTCTCCTCCTCTTCCCCCGCGCACGCTTCCGTCTCCTCCTCGTCATCCATCTCGTCAGCATATCATTCCTGGAATCATCGCGGGCGCTTCGCACGCACTCAGGTATGTTCCAAAGGCTTCTGAAGGATTTCGACGTTCTCGTCTTCTTCCGCTTGCCACCGCTCCAAAATGGCCCAAGAAGCCCTCAAGATCCCCCCGAGAAGGCCCCAGAGGCCTCCAAGAGGGCTCCAGTACAGCCCAAGAGGATCCCAAGACAGCCCAAAACGCCACCAAGACTGCCCAAGAAGCCCCAAAGACAGCTCCAAGAGCGTGCCCAGACGGGGGACGCGAACGGACATTTCGAGCCCTCGGCTCCGAGAGGCTCCCAGGAGGCCCCGAAAGGTTCCCAAGAGGCTTCAAGAGGCCCTGGGACGCCTCTGGGGGCCGGCTTTCGGCCTACGCAGGCCACGTTGGAGGCCTCTTGGGCTGTGTCGGGGGGTCTCTTGGGGCGTCCCGGCGCTCTCTCCGGACCCTGCGAAGCGGTCCTTGGGAGGTGCTCGGGGGCCTCTACTGCCACCTTGCAGCCTTGGGAAGCTGAAAAGGCAAGAACCCCGAGGCCCGTCAAAAACATCGCATGTCAAAGAATTGTGCCTCCTGGGGGCTGATTTGGGGCCTCCTGGGTGTATTGTTTTTTCTCCGTGGCTAGATGCACGGCTGACTCAGAAGGTCATGACCTACGCCAGGGAGCCCGCTGTGCTGGCCCAGCAGGGTGCCCCCCTGGCTGGGTCAGACAAAGCACGAGGCACACCCTGTCACGAGTAGGGGGTGGTGGCAAAAACAAAGGCTTGAGCGCTGAATGCCAAATTCATGATATTTGGATCGCGTGGTCATGCGAAGCTTTCGGCCCTCGGCTCCGAGAGGCTCCCAGGAGGCCCAAAGAGGTTCCTAAGAGGCTTCAAGAGGCCCTCAAGAGGCCCCCAGGAATCCCGAAGAGGCCCCCAAGAAGCCCCCAAGGGGCCCCAAAGAGGCTCCCAAGAGGCCCCAAAATTACTCCGCAGAGGCCCCCGAGAGCCTTCCGAAGAGACCCCTAGAAGCATCCCTGAGGACTCTGGCCCATGTCAGCATCGTCATCGTCGCCGCCGCCACCGTCGTCGTCGTCCCCATTCAGTGTCGGCGGCACCTGCCGTAAGATCTTCGCAATAAACGCTTCCCAATCGATTTGGGTTCGTTGTTGCCTCTTGGGGCCCTCTTGAGAACCCCAATTCTCTTAGGGCGTCTTGGAGATCCCTCGAGCAGCCGTCTTGGAAAGCATGGGCCGTCTCGAGAGCCTTTTAGACAGTCGTGGAAACAACTTTGCCTTCTTGCCCATCGTTCCTGGGCCGCCTTCGGCGGACTTCGGGCGGTCTTCGGCGGTGTTCTGACGGTCCTCGGCGATTTCTGGCGGCCTTTGGCGGTTTTCAGCGGTCTTCGGCGCGAAAGATGGATGGTTGCGTTCAACAAGGGTCCATGATCGAAAACCTCAGACATAACACAATGAGATAACAAACTACGCTGTAATACTTTACACATGCCACGGCTAGGACAACATCCATCAAACGACCGATCGTAGCGCAGATAAGACGCACACTTCTACAGACGTATCGTTACGCGCGTTAGTGACGACGCTACAAATGACTGTTCTACTGCAATGCAAGTCGTAGTTCCGTCTGCCTCGAGAACCAAACCAAATGTCCACCAATTGTTTCGCTAATATTGGCACCTATCCGCTATCTTTATCCCTCTCTCTCTCTCTCTTTCTCTGTCTCTGCTCTCTCTCTCACTCTCTCTCTCTCTCTCTCTCCCTCTCTCTCTATATATGTATATACGTATATATATATATGTATATATATATATGAACATCTATATAAATACAACTGTGTGTGCCTCTCTCTCTCTCTCTTTGCCATCTGCATCGGAACCGTCGACGTCCACTTGATCAACATCCTCTGGTGTTCGTACCTCCGGTGTTTTCGAATCCGCCGACCCTGCGGCGTGTGTGAGACACCGTCGTCGCCTTCGTCGTCGTCGTCATCGTCACCAGTCCCAAGAGAAGAAGGAACGAACAGAGAAAATTAACGTCGCAGTTGAGTCGATTCACTCTCCCTTTCCCCCTCCCTGATGGAAAGGTGGCAGGAAGGAGGGCGTATGGGGGCTACGGGGGGGGGAGGAAGGGAAAGGCAATCCCGGGTCACATTGCCGACCCCCCCCCCGCGGATCCTGGCCGGTCCCAGGGGTTCCCCCTGCGGACAGGGGACACGGAGACACCCCCCATCCGGGCGGGCTGGCAGCAGGGGTCCCCGGGGGAGGTCCCGCCTGTGGGGGGGGGGATGGTCCCAGGTCAGAATGCCGCCCACCCCCCGATCGCAGCGGGTCCCCGGGGGGGGGGCGCCAGCGGGGGTCCCTCGGGAGGTCTTGCCTTCAGGGTCGGCGGCACCGGCCATAAGGCCTTCCCAAACATGTATACATGTAGTCGTGCGTATATTGATGTATATATATATATATATACACACACGTGCATGTACACATCACATCCGTGGGTATCGATACTGATATGTTGAAATACGGATACAAACAACCACCATTAACCTAACTGGTGCTGCTGGCATCGGGCATAACATATTTATCGTTTCCGTGGTAACCCGATTTATCAATTCCACCAGCCCTCTGGGCGTCGGTGGTCTAGAGAGTTTCATCTTCCAACCCCCTTCTTCCCCTTCGGGGAGGGGTTTACCCCTCCCCCTACCCCTCCCCTGGACCTGGACGGAGGGTTCCGCGGGTCGTTGGGGCGTCCAAGATGGCCAAGACGGCTCCAAGAGCGAAAAAGCGAGAAAGCAAACAAACATTGAATTCCCTAGGTTTTGGACGGATTTGGGGACCTTTTGGGGCCCAAGAGGCGATTCGAGGCACTCTAAAGGAGCAGCGCTAATTGACACCCCCCCCCTTCTTTGATAGATCTCCTCCAACATGGCCCCAAGAGCGCCCCCAAGGCTCCCAAAAGCGCTCCAAGAGCGCCCCAAGAGGGCCCCAAGAGGCCCCACGAGGCGCCCAAGAGGCCTCCAAGAGGCTCCCAAGAGACCCCCAAGGGGCCCCAAGAGGCTCCCCGAAATACGCAAGAGGCCCCCGGGACCGCCAAGAGGCCCCAAAGACGGCCCAAGAGGCCCCCAAGCTCGCAATTGTCCTCCTCCTTCTCCTCTTTTTCTTCCTCCTCCCTCCTCGCCCTCCGTCTCCTTTTCCTCCTCCTCCTCCTTCTCCTTCTCCTCCTTATCGTCCTCCACGTCCTCGCCCTCCTCCATCTCATCCTCCTCATCTTCCTCCTCCTCCTCCTCCCCCTCCTCCTCCTGCTCCTCCTCCTGCTCCTCCTCTTCCTCCTCCTACTCCGACGACGACGACTCCTCCTACATTCTCCCCCTCTTGGGGTATATGGCGGCTTACCCCGCCCTTTGTTCTTCTGCATGCTCCCCCGCTTCCCTCATCACCTCCATCCCTGGGACTCATTTCTGGACGGGCTGGTGGGGATACTTTGTTGGTCGGCGGCCGTGCGACAAAAGGCAGCCGGCAACAGGCGTGTCCGGGACGGCGGAACAGGCAAATTCCACGCCAGGCGTGCCATGCACGTGCAGCTGGTGGGGATACGCGAAGCGTTCAAAATTCGCATTATTATTAGGACACTCGATGGAAGAACATGGGGCTGCCATCGATGCTGCCTGAAAACAAACACAAACGTATGTGTTTTGTTCCGTGTCGCTGCTATAACCGTACATCGGATGATGCAGACATGCCTTGGTATACGAAGCTGGCGTATGGCATTTTAGTTTATTCCAAGGTGTATGCCACAAAAGAATTAATCGGACATGGGGTGCAGTGTGCAGGTACGCTTTCATTGTCATACCAAGTGTCACGTATGTCATGCATAAGCGCCACACACGGCACGTGCAACATCCACCGAACCATGTGCGTGCTCTAGTTCACAAAACAACGGTAGGGTCGCATCTGTGTCAACAGCCGGGATAATGGCTTCCCACCAATCTTTCGGAACGTCCTTCTCCTCGGTCTCTGCCTCCTTTATGGTAACGTCGGTGTCCGTGATCAGCTTGTCGATCATTGCGATGACGCCGCTGGAACCCTCGGAACGTGCATCGGTTCGGGCCGCATCGGCATGAAGTCGAAATCGGTTCGGATCGGCAACACCATGATGCACAACAACGCCATGCAGACATCGGGCCGCATCGGATCGTCGGAATATGGGAGTCGACTCCGATCGGGCAGGCCAGAATCGACGTCGGATCGCATGGATCGGATCGAAATGGACTCTGCGAGGGCCGATAGATACCACCAGAGAAGGAACACCGACCCTAAATACAAAGTTCCGGGGGTCCGCAATGGTTTCTTGGATCGGCGTTGGGTCCCCCTCCCTGGCGCACGGTGCCCGCCAAGGGCGGCGCCAGAGGCGCCGCCAATGAGCCAGGTGTAGATCCAAGAAGCACGACAATTACTGTCCATGACATGTAATCAGAATCGGACCTTGAATGTAGACGCCCGGAATTGGTACGGAGCAAATGAACAAGATGCCCAGCAACAAGCGTTGTCCGCAACCGCTTGTGGCCGGTGTTGGGCAGACGGCCCTCCTGTCTCAAACGGTTCACAGCAAGCGCCGACAGCGAATCCTGTTCGAAATGAACCATAAATGCTGTCGGTCTTGGTGTTCTGCGGCACGCACAAGGGGGTAGTGGGCGGGCGGCCACTTGTTAAAACGCGCTGGCCTTTCGTCCGCAGACACGGCCCGCGCCTTCTCAGAAGAAGGGTGTTTCTAAGAAGCCATCCCCCCTCCCCTTGCCTCGGCGATGGACAAGCGTCCCTTTAGTAAACCTTCCTTTGGTGAAAACAAAACGGCCTAGGACCGAAACCGACGGACCTGGACCCGCACAAATGACAGCCGCGACGCCCTCTCGCGAACCGAAAACGGCCAATTCGCGAATCGACGCGTCAGGGTAGGAGGTCTATCAACTTCCGATTGCCCCCCTCTGCGCGTGGCTGGCGTGCCTTTCCTTTCCGTACTAACTCCGGTCGCCCCGACGAGGAGCCCAGAACCTCCATGCGCGGGACGTAAGAATCCTCGCCATGGGGAAGCGTGTCCCGAAGGAGGAGGAGGAAGAGGAGGAGGAAAAGGAACGCGAGGAGGAGGAGGAGGAGGACGAGGTGGAGGAATCTTTTGCGTCGATATGCGTAATCCCTGCAATGCGTTCCAATGATGGTTCACGCTTAATGGGCCCCGCCGATGCCATGGGGAGGAAAGAGTGTACCGCTAAGCTAGCAATAGGGCAGCCCTGAAGCAAGGAGGCAGGCCCGCCAGCCGACGCGCGCGCGCGGCCGCAGGCCCGCTCCTTTTCTGTTCCCCTAGAGCCAAATAGCTGTAAAGTAACAGATCAGTCAAGCAGTGCAAAAGGAAGAGAGCAAGAGGGGCAGCGGGATGGTGGTGCGGAAGGAGTGCACTGACAGGAGGAGGAGGAGGAGGAGGAGGAGGAGGAGGAGGAGGAGGAGGAGGGGGAGGCGGGGAGGAGGAGGAGGAGGAGGAGGAGGAGGAGGAGGAGGAGGAGGAGGAGGAGGAGGTTGATGATGAGGAGGAGGAGGAGGAGGAGGAGGAGGAGGAGGAGGAGGAGAAGGTTGATGATGATGAGGAGGAGGAGGAGGAGGAGGAGGAGGAGGAGGAGGTTGATGACGAGGAGGAGGAGGAGGAAGAACTGCTCCGCGACGGGCGCCCAGAGGGTCGGGGCCCCGGCACCCCTCCGGAGGCCCACGGTGCCCACCGAGCCCTCGCTCCCGACGCGAGCCCCTGACGCCTCAAGACTGTGGCGAGAGCCGCTTGCTGTGGCCGCGCTGGCAAGCACTCCAGCGCAGCGCCCAGACCGCTTCCGCGCGTCTTGGGCGTGGCTTGATGGGGGGGTCATCAATGGGGGGGTCAGAAACGGTCCCCTTTCGTGCCCCTTTCGGGCCCCTCTGGACCCCCAGGGGGCTCGTTGAGGTACCGTTTGGGTACCTTTTCGGACCACCCTCACCAACCCCCCATTTATGACCCCCCCATTACGCAACGCCCAAGCGTCTAGTTACCCACACACCCCCGGGTTTCCTATTTTCGGCCCCTGGGGGCCCTTACTGGCCCTCGGGACCGTCAAGAAACGATTCTGGGTGAAAAAAGGGGTCCCGGGGAATGGGTCGAGACCTCGGGGGGTCGACGTAATGAAAAAACAAGGACGTCGGGGGTCTGGGTATAGAGGGGGGACTTGCTGCACATCCAGCAACTGCCGGAGGTCCGCGCAAAAATTCTCGTCGGGGGTTCAGCGCCGATCAAAGGACTCCACGCGGAGCTCCGAAAGTCGAAAGTTCATTTTCGTGCAATTGTTACTTCGTCGACCGTCAATTAGGCCTACCTTCTCCCTCGAGACAGATTTTGCGGACACCCCCTCCGCGCGGGGCGCATTGCTATTCCGGACCCCGAATGCGATTGGAAAAGATAGATGGCGAGTTATTCGGTCACTCCGGAAAGGGAAGTTGGTGCCTCAGGGACGCCTTCGGGATTTATATGGGCAATTGGTGGACGGCGAACACAGAGCAGACACAACGGCCGACTATCTCGAAAAGGTTAAGTGGCATCTTCCTGCAGCTGCCGACCCCCCCACAACCAGAGACGGAAGATGGGTATCTGCGCATTGATGCAGGATACAAACCATTGGAAGAAATACGAGAGACAATCCAACATCTTCGTGTACAGCGTGCTTCTGGAATCGAAAAGGGGCCACCCGAACCTTGGCAAGCTTTATGGCGAGATGAACGTGCTATGGAGATCCTGCGGGAATTATGCAACGCATGTTGGCAGAAGAAAAAAATACCGAGGAGCTGGCGAGAGGCGTCTATTGTTTCACCGTTCAAAATGGGCGACACATCCCAGCCGTTCAACTATAGGCCAACTGCCTTATTGGCAATGGGCTATAACAAAGTACTTGCCAGCATACTCTTACGGAGGTTCAAACAAGGGGGCGCTCAAGAACAACTACGATAATCACAATACGGCTTCAGACCCAAACGCGGTAAGAATGACGCGCTCTTCTTGTCGCGACGGTGAATCGACGCTGCATTGGAGGATAAGGATGGCACGCTAGGCTGGCGTAAAGCATTCGACCGTATTCGACCAGAAGGGCTTCTTCAAGCACTCCGACTTGATCACTCCAGACGTGCTGTACGCAGACGACCCAATGTTGGTGGCAGACAAGCCAGAGTGCCTTCAGAAGCATTTGAACGGAATCGTCCAGATTGGGAGGATTTTTGGTCTCGACAGGAACGTGGGCAAATCTATACTTCTCCGGGTCAGGTCCGAAACGAACAAAAAAGGGCTGGACGGCGAATTCATCCCGTGTCAGAGCAGTGCCGTCTATCGGGCTCCTCAGCGTCGACGGCCAGCCGAAGAGTGAGTTGACCAAGCGCCCAGGAGAGGCAAAAGGAGCATTCGAGAAACTTCGCTCCGTGTGGAACCACGCCGATTTGAGCAAGCAGGCGCTTGGGCCCATGTGGCGGCGCAGGGAGGACGCTTGGAGGGGGGGGGGGGGACGAGGGCGAGGAGAGGGGGGGAGGGATGACAAGGAGGCGCTGCTGGAAAAGCGCAGGGTGACAATGACATCTAGGAGGTCCGCGCGGACTTCTTAGCTCGGCGTGGGACCCCCAGTCGTGGCGCGCGGGGCGCGCCAGGCGCGGCGCCCCCCGAGCGTCAAGCGGATAGATCCGCACGGGCCACTGAAAAAAACATGTTCCTTTCCTTGTTTGTTCCCCGACACCGTGGCGAAGCAGGGAGGACGGGGGGGAGGGCGGGGAGGGGGGCGAGGGCGAGGAGGAAAGGGGGGGAGGATGGCAAGGGCGCAGAAGGGAGCGAGGGCGAGGGGGCGGGCGACGGCGAGGGCGATGATGGGGGGCGGGGGCGAGGGCAACGAGGGAGGACGGAGGGGGGGAGCGGGCGAGGGCGAGGGGGAAGGTGCAAGAGAGGCGCGCTCGCGCCCCATCTGACATCATTTAATTATGGGATGATTTAGTCGCTTCGCTCATTCCGCCGGCCCTGGAGCGCTATTTGGGGCTTCTTGGGGCCGTCTTGGGGGCTTCTTGGGGGCTTCTTGGGAGCGTCTTGGGGCTCCTTGGCGGCGTATTGGGCTCCCCTGGGGCCTCTTGGGGGGCTCTTGGGGGCCCCTTGGGGCGGGAGGGGGGGTAGTCGTTGGCAGCCCCCCCCCCCCTCGGAGGCCACGATCCTCGTGAGGGGTGGCGAAAAGTAGCCTCCCCCCTGGGGATCGCCCGGGGATCAGCCGGGGATCGGCCGGGGTACTTTTTGTCCGGGGCCCCCCAGGGGCCGCGCGCGCGAAGTAGAAATATTGGTAAGTAGTTGCCAGAGATCTTAGCACGCCTCTGGCCCGTTGGGCCGGCGAATTCCCTCCCTTTCCCGCCCATGGCTTGTATATCCATCCACTGTTGCGTAGTATGAACGACCTGCGACTCACACAAAAAGACCACTGCGTATTACTTACGCAGGACGAAAGATTTTCCTTTTGAGGTGAAAATGGCCATGAGGAGTTCGCGAGACAACGTCGGCGCCGCCGAACGGACGGCGACCGGACGAGCTGTTTGCAGCAACCGGGGGGGGAGGGATGTATGTATTCATGTTGAATGGGGCCCGCTCGCGCGGGGAGTTGATGGGAGTGCGCGAGACGACGCAGGGCCCATTGTGGAAAGTTGATTACCGAACCCCCCTCCCCCATAGAATCTTAACACGGGCGGTTTGCGGGGTCCGCGGATCCGATTTCTTCCGGTCCCCTGGTTTAATCTAATAATATAAATTTAAAACAGGGTAGAAATCGGATCCGCCGTAAAAAATGAGACCGGACACGGATCCAACGAATCCGAAATCGGATCCGTACAGACGGAAATCGGATCCACCGAAACAAACACCAAAGCCACATTTGGATCCGCGCGAGCATCATGAGATCCAACGGCGGTTATCTCATACGGGTCTGCTGAAGACTTCACACCGTCGTTCCAGGCCCAAGAGGAAAAAACTTTCGTCCTGGGGATGTATGCACAATCGGAAAAAAAGGGAACTGCGTGCACCGGAAGAGGAGGTGGAGGGTGAGCAGGGGGATCAGCGGGAGGAAACGGATGAGGGCGAGCAGCAGCAGCAGGAACTAAAGCAAAACAGATCGGGAGGGAAAGGACAACCAAGGGAAGGCTGAGAAGAGGAGATGAGGAGGGCGACGGCGATGAGTAAAGCCTCGGATTCTGAGTAGAGTGGCCCGCGCTGGGGCGAGACGAACCGCCGCAGCAGTGCCAGGAGGACCTGACAAGGGGGAGGGCCCTGGCCCGTGGAGGTAAAGCCACCCTGGCCGCCGCGAGACAGCCGCCCAGGGGCGCCTCGCTCTTCTTGGTGTAGGCCCCGAACGTCTCCGGCGGGGGCGGCGGTGCCGCGTCGGAGTCGCTGGCGGTCCTGCCGCTGGGCCCGGAAAGGGGAGGCAGGCCGCGCAGGGCGTCGGGCAGACCGAGGCTCCTGCTCCCCAGAGATCCGATGTCGTGATTTGTTCCATATGGGGTCCCCCGAAGGTCAGGTCAGGTCAAGCCGTAGGCTGGGGCAGCCCATGGGCACGTGCACGGGGCATGGGCCGGGACCCCGTCTTAGACGGCATCCGCCCTGCAAGCTGCGGAACGAGGCTGTGGATGCGCATGCACGATTCTGCTGTGGTTCCATATGGGGTCCCCCGAAGCCTCGACCCGTTCCCCAAGACCGCTTTTCCATCCGGAGTCCTTTTCTGACGGTCCCGGGGCCTGGCGGGGGCCCCCAGAGGCCGAAGTCAAGTCAAGTCACCCCGCTCGCACGAGGGCGGGCCCATATAGGGCGCGAGGGAAAAAAACAAATGCCAGTCACTATTCAGGCCTGGTGCGCAAAGGAAGCATCGCGCCTGCTCACGTCGACGTGCAGAAGACTGCGAAGAACCTCCGTCTTGACTTCTTCCGCGGGTCGGATCTCGGGGTCCTCGCGCGCCGCCGGAGCGCCCACGGTGTCGTTCCCGCCCCGGGCTCGCGCTCGCACGGCCGCCGCCTCTGGGCGGAGGCCGCGGGGGCGAGGGCGGCCGCCCGGGCCCCCGCGTCCACGGGCAGCCGGGACTCGCGCGGACGTCTGGCACGAATATGAAGTTGGGCCTGTCCTCCTACAGGGGGATGTTGGACGAAATATTCACAATAGTCAGCAAATCCGCCGACCCTGTCGGCGTGTGGCGCTGCCCGCCCTTTGCCTGAGCCCTCCCCCTCCTCCTCAAGAGCGCCAACCAGAACGAAAATGAGCAACGTCGTAAATGCGTCGAAGGGAAGCCCCTTCCCTTTGATCCCTTCCCCGCCGGTGGGGGGGTCCCAGGGGGGGGGTCCCGGGGGGGGTCGCCACCCAGATACGCATCCCCCATTTGCGGCTTTTACAGAGGGGCCCTCTGTAGATGCGCTGGAGGAGGGGGGCGGTCGCCACGACGGATCTGCAAGAGCGCCCCAAGACGGCCCAAGCCCCACAAGACAGCCCAAGAACGCCTAAGGACGGCCAAAGGGGGCCCTCAGACGGGTCAAAAGAGCCCTACCAGGACTCTCAAGAAGGCCCGGAGAAGCCATACTCATTGATTTTCGGAGAGGTGTTGTCCCCACCCTATCCCTCCCATTTCCGTCGAGAGCCGAGGCCTCCAGAATTGGTTGCTCCTACTCGCTTCCTCTCGCTGCTCCTCGTTCTCCTCCTCCTCCTCCTCTTCCTCCTCCTCCTCCTCCTTACTCCTCCTCATCCTCCTCCTCCTCCTCCTCCTCCTCCTCTCCTCCTCCTCTGCTCCTTCTCCTCCTCCTTTCCTTCCCCCCCTCCTCCTCCCTCATCCGCCTTCTCCACCCTTCCTCTTCCCCCCCCACTCCTCATCCTCCTCCTCCTCCTCCTCCTCTTCCTCCTCCTCCTCCTCCTCCTCCACCTCCTCCCCCCCCCGCTCGTTTTCATCTTCGTCGTCTTCAGGGTCGGCGGCACCGGCCGTTAGGCCTTCGCAATCCCCCCCCCCAAACAAACAAAAACTCAAAAAATAGTTCCCAGTTTATGTTTTTACTATTTTCGAATATTCCCCCAATAGAGGGGCAGGCCCGACTTAAGAGTAATAGTTCGGTGGCCCAAGGAGGGGGTCCAGCTGAAAGGGGGTGACGCAATCGATTCGGGGCAATTGTGTTGCAAGTGCACTGCGCCAAAAAGATTGTGTTGCTGTGGATTGCAAGTAATGTGTTGCACGCGAAAACCCAGCAAGACATTCGCGCCCCAGAATGTATTGCACGCCCCCAAATGTACTGCAACCCCGCAAACCTATTGACCCAAGTCTATTGCACAACCCCCTCGTCGCTGGACCCACGCTTGGGTCAACCCGGCAGAAGAAGAACAAACGCGCGGATTTCTCGGATCGGTGATGGACCCCCTTCTTGGCGCGCGCAGCGCGCCAGGGGCGACGCCGGAGGCGCCGCCCAGGGTCTCCAGCGCCGATCCGAGAAATCCGCGCGGACCTCCGAATTTCTATGTTTGTGCTATTGCCCGTTCCCCCAAGCAAGTGCTGCTTCGCCTAACGTTGCCCCCGACTGTTCTTGCCTGTCGGGTCATGGCTCGTGCCCCTCCGGCGGCCGTTCGGGACGATCCGGGCACCCCCCGAGCGCTGACGACGAGGCGCGGCTGATGGAAGCCACCCTGGGCCTCGAGAACTTAGCAACACCCCCCCTCCTGGAGCCCACCCTCCCCAAACGTTGCGCCTGAGCTGGCCCCTCCCCCAAGGCTCGGGGGCGTCAACGAGGGGGGGGTCCTAAAGGGGGGGGGGGGCACAGGTCATGGCCCCAAACACGTGTGCCGGCCAGGGGGAGAGACCATGAGACATACTGGAACAAGACGAAAGGACCATGAGTTCCGGGGAGACACCACGTCCCCGGCCATGATGCCAACCCCCTGCACCTGCACCCTCCTCTCGTTGCCCCTGACCCTATCCTCCCCAACGTTGCGCTTGAGCCCGTCTCCCCTACTGACCTCTCCTACTGACCTCTCCTGAAATGCATTCTGACCATGATCTCCTGGAGGTTCCAGCCATGGCGACGCGGGATCTCCAGGATGAGCAGCGGTGCCGGTACCTAGCCCACTCCTGACTATCTCCCCGAGACATTGACCAACAACGGCGTAACGCCCAATTTCTCGGAGGTCAACGCGGATGTCTTGGATCGGCGCCAGACCCCCCTCCCCCGCGCGCGGAGTGCGCCGGGAGCGGCGCCAGAGGCGCCGCCACGGGGCGGCCCAGAACGCTGATCCAAGACATCCGCGCGGTCCTCCGACAAAGCCTATGTTGAAGGGCCCAGGATTCCCCATATATTTTGTAATTTTTCTTGACTTTCGTCTTCCCCCCATTTCCCATCTTGGGAGTCGACGATTACTTGTGTCTGTGTGTTTCTTTCCCTCCTGAAAAGACTATGTACATCTCCCCCCGGACGTTGCCCCATCCCCTCCCGTCCGCCCCTGGCGCCCCCCCCGGGTCCTGTGCTCCCTGCGCAAATACAACGAAGGGGATGTATCGAAATAGAACGAAGGACGTAAAACACGGGGAGACCTCATCCCCGTTTGACACGAAGGCCACGACACCCCGGGAGATCCCATGGCCCTGGCCATGATGAACCCGCCCCCTGGTAATCGTCCCCCCCTGGCCCTTCCGACTCCCCTCCCTTCCCTAGGGGGCAAACAAACCTGCCTCGCTTTTGCCCACCCTCGCTTCCAAGAGATACCAAGCGATGCCAAACTGCGGCCTGTACTGGTGAGGCCGCTTGACGAGGAGGCGCGTGGTATGACTTGGTTTTGCCTGGAAGCGAAAACGGGGTAGGTAATTCACGCTCTGATTCCCATCTGGAGCCTGGGGGTGGCCGGAAATCTCCCCGGAGCCCCGCGGACACGCTGCACCATCTCGTCCCCAGACTAGAGGAGGAGGAGGAGGAGGAGGAGGAGGAGGAGGAGGAGAAGGAGGAGGAGGGGGAGGAGGAGGAGGAGGAGGAGGAGGGGGAGGAGGAGGAGGAGGAGGAGGAGGAGGAGGAGGAAGAGGAGGAGGAGGAGGGCCCGCTCAGGGCCTCCCCCTCCGCCTCTCGGGGGGGGCGCCGCCCTGGCGGCCCTCCCCGCCCCGCGCCGCCTCTCCCCCCATGTCGGGGATGGATAGACCCCCCTTAGCAAAACGTGGTTTGGTGAAAACGGCCTCGGGCCCAAACCTGGCGGGCGCAAGCCTGGAAAATGACGGCCGCGGCGCCCTTTCGAGAACCGAAAACGGACCATTCACGAATCGACGTGCCGGGGTAGGAGGTCTGTCCAACCCCGACCTCTCCCCCCCGGCGCCCCGCGGCTCCTGTGAGCCCGCACCTGCGCCAGATCCACGGGGGGCTTGTCCGCTGGCCCCCGCCACCGCTCCGAGAGTGGGGGGGGGCCGCCGTCGCGCTCTCCGGACTGCCAGGCCGAGGCCTCCGACGGTCTCGAGCTCTGGTCCTCCGTTCGGCCTCGGGCTGAGGCCCACACTTCCCAACCCCTGACCTTCCAGGAGGGCTGAAAAATAGCACCAGGACGTCGACGTTCTCATTCCTGTCGAGGTTCGAAGCAGTCCAGATAGGCTTATAGGTCTGGAGTGCTACTTTTCGGCACTCTGGAAGGTCAGAAACCCTCCCCACCCCTCCCGCTTGCCCTCAGAATTGGCGCTACAGAAGTTGCCCGGCGGCGGACCCGAGCGAACGCAGCTGCGAGCGCCGCGAAGCAGGGGGGCGAGCCCAAAGACTGCAGCGGCAAGCGGAAGGGACCAGCGGGCGCAGGTTCGAAAGGGGTGCGTTGTTCGGCCCGCGGCCCGAGCGCAGCCGTTGCCGCGCCCATGCTCTGCCCGGCCCTTTTGCCCCTGCTGTTTCTGTTGTGCGTGGCGTTCCTGCCCGCCTTGCGCCACGAAGCGTGTGAGGGGTGTGCCGAATAGGACGCGGGCGCGCCGTGCGGACTGTGCCGTTGGGGCTTTCGGTGGAAGTCCCTGTGAGGCCACGAAGCGTGTGACGGGTGTGCCGCATGGGGTGCGGGGGCGCCGTGCGGGCTGTGCCGCTGGGGCCTTCGGTGGCGCTCCCTATGGGGCAACGAAACGAATGAAGGATGTGTCGAATCGGATGCGGGTACGCCATGCTGACTGTGTCCATGGGGCCTTCGGTGGAGTTCCCGCTGGGGCCGCGTGCGAAGGGGAATCCAGGATATCGTACGGGTGCGCCATGCGGAGTGTGCCGCTGGGGCCATCCTGGGACCCTGTTTGGAACCCACTATGGGGCCACGAAACGTGTGAAGACTGCGCCGGATCGGGTGCGGGTGCGCCCTCCGGGATGTGCCCTCTGGGGCTTTCGGTGGAGCTCCCGTTGGGTCCACGAAGCGTGTGAGGGGTGTGCCGAATCGCACGCGGGTGCGCCGTGCGGACTGTGTCGTTGGGGCCTTCGGTGGAGATCCCTGTAGGACCACGAAGCGTGCGAGTGGTGCCAGATCGTGTGCGAGTACCCCATGCGGGCTGTGCCGCTGGAGCTTTCGGTGGAGGTCGTCCATGTGGGGCCACGAAACATGTGAATGGTGTGCCCATTTGGGTACGGGTACGCCATGCGGGGTGTCCCGCTGGGGCCTTCGGTGGGGTTCCCGTTGAGGCTGCGAAGCGTGACGGGTGTGCCGGATCTCGCGAGGGTGCGCCATGCGAGCTGTGCCGACGGGGCCTTCCTGGGGCCCTCTTTGGAGCCCCCTATGGAGCCACGAAGCGTGTAAGGGGTGTGCCGAATCGAGCCCGGGCACGCGATTTGTCTACGAATGTACCCTCAATCTGGTGGAAAATTGCAATAAGGCGCGGCGCACAGGAACTGCCTCGCTTAGTCGTGAGATGTTGCAGCTTCTTCGGCCTGGAATTGCAGCGCCGTCTGAAAGAGATCGGCTGAGCGACAATTGATGAGATGCTGCAGGAGACTGCTGGAAACACTGATCATGCCGGAAATGGATCTCTGGAGCAAGGGATGGGGCCTGGCTCGATCAGGCCTTTTCAGGGCCTGGCTGCGCAGACGCCAGATGCCCGCGAAATCGCGTGATTCAAGGGGGCCGGAGGCAGGAGGACAGAGCAAGGGGGGCCTCACCAATCGAGTAAACAACAGACAACAGACCTAGAATGGACATGTCGCGTCTCATCGATAAGAGCGCTTAGTCATATCCGCACAAAGCACGCTCTTCCGTCAACTCACCGCGTGGCTAAACCTCGTCCTGCACGTCATCGAGCTGCTTGAGCACAGGAGGCGCAGCATGACACGCGAGACTGTTAGCACCTTATGTAAGACATTATGCGACAACTCTGCAATCGAACCATCTCGCGCGTCGAATAAAAACGGCCGTTGCGCAGCGGCGCCCTTCGCGGTGCACTTCTGAATGGCGTAAGACATAATCAATTGCGCGTCCAAGACAACCCCCAATATCATGAAAGTCTCACCGCGCGGACGGCGCTCGTCTGAGATGCGCGTGATGTTCCTTTGCACAATAAACAGGACGTTGTTTGCATCGCCCCGAGAATGTAAATGAGATTGACAACGTTTACACACGCCCATATCTTCATTGTTGTGACAACCATTGCGCATCCTCCAACAATTGAGATCGTCCACGAAGACAACCCTGGAAACTGGCGTTGGCAATGGACCGGCCCGCGCCGGCGTAGCGCGCGCTGCAGAGCAGCGGGCCGAGCGCCGCCCATTGGAATGCCATGTCTTCCAGCGGGGGGGATTCGGATAAGACGCCGCCGGCGCAGACCCCGGCAACGCAGGGGTTCAGCCAGGCAGACATTACCCCAGCGAAACCGTCTGAAACGCCGGCGGCGCGGAGCTCTGCAAGAAGCCGCAAGCCTCGATGATCGCGCCCGGTCGAATCCGCCAGATACGTCGGAGCAGTGGACTGCAGACAGGCGGCCTGTCCCGATTGCCCATGCCCAGTGGCCCGCTGTAGAACAGAAGGCGTCGAGATGTCCCCGGCCACTGTGGCGGGCGGACTGGTCGTGGCCGCATGCGCGGGTGCGCTCGAAAAACAAGAAGCCTGTCGGCAAATGTCCACTCGGCCACGTCGCTGATCTGAGACGTCAAGTGAACGCCGCGGTAATTTTCCGCACTCGACCTCGACTTGCGCCTGGGCAGGAGGTGAAAACAGCAAAGCTTGCAAGGCGAAGGCCGAGTGCCACATTGGAAAACACGGCGGGCAATCGTGGACAGCGGCATTGCGAGCTCACGCGCGCAATTCTTCAACGGCCGCGCAGACACGGCATCTGGCCAGTGCCTGAGTCGTCTCGGAGGCATCGGACAACCTGCAGAGCGTCTCGACGCCGCGCTGAGTTGAACCTCGACATGGCGCGGTTCGCGTCAGCGCCAATCTCGGATTTCACAATCGAGCGAGCATCGGGAAAGCCGAACTTCTGACAAGAAAAAAATCACTCGCGAATGAATATGCCGTTCTGCCTGGGCCCCACAGCCCGGGGCCCAGCAGGCGACGAGCATAGGGGGGTGGAAATGCGAGGGCCCCCGGCGCGGGGCACGAAGGTATCGCATAAAGAACTCCTTATATTTCAAGAAGGGAATAATTCTACCGCTCGCTGCCGCGCGCGGGCGGCGCGCAACCGACGCCCTCGAAGCAGGCCCTCGGAACGCCCCCTTTGCCAGGTCTTGTGCTCAAGCGCGCCGTGCGCGCGCGTCTTGGCAGCATTGAGTTCGTGGCCTTTTTCACTGGGCCAAGGGTGGGTGGGCCCCTGGGCGGTCGCCTGAAAGGCGGGGCGCAAGGCCTGACAACGCACGTAAGCGGCTCGGCAAACGGCGGAACTGCAGTCGCGGGATCGCACCCGTAGAATAGGAGGCGCCAAGCCACGACATTGAGGGCCCCACGGGGAGCATTCCAATCCGCTTTTCTTGAACAACCACTGCGCCCGCTGGACCGGGAGAGAACGAGAAACGCGCATGGCGACCTTCACGTGAACGAGATTACGATCGCAGATTGGCGGGTGAACTGCGCAAGAGACGCCAGATGTGATATCCGACAGTACAAGAACGAATGAGTGGTTGCCTCGAATGGGCTTGCCGGCCTTTTCGAGCACACCTATGCGAGCGCATGCCTTAAAAGGTTGCCCCCCTTCCGGAGTGCTGCCTTCAGAGAAGCGCAGCCAAGGCTTGCGGCGTCACGTTCGCGCCCGCAACAATGGGAGCGCCAAGCGCGAGGTCCTGATGTAAGCGCCACGCACGCTCAAAAGAAAGTATGTAATCGATCTCGCCGCGCTCCTGTGCACGACGCCAGAGAGCAAGCAGAGACGGCCCACGATCTGCGTGAACAACATGCCACGAGCGCTCAGAAACTCCAGAATCACTTTTGGGCCATACATATGCAAGAAGATGCCTGGGCAAATTGAGCTATTTAGCCGAGAGACAATGTCATGCCCGGCCAATGACGGACGCAAAACTGACCGGTCCATCCACGTCTCGCTTATGGCGACGATGTCTGGGAGATTGGCATGGGGGAGTCAACGAAATGAATCGACATGGTGCGTGCAAAAACCGAGCCAGCTGACAAGCAAGATGGACATCGACGGCCTTGCTTCGTGCCGAACGCGACGAGTATGAACAGGACGAGGACCGCGGCGACGGAGACGCCACGGCGTCAATGGTTGGGGCCGCTCATCTGCCACCAGGTGACGGGCGGGCCTGAGAGCATCATAATGCCGGGACTGGTTGGTAACAGCATGTACAGAAGCGGCCCCAAGCCACCCCTACGGGGTGGCGAGCCCAGCGCAGGGAGGCAGACACATGCCCTTGAGGTCGCCCTGGCACTGCTCGAAGGCCACCTTACTGTCGACCACAACGTGGCACTCGCGGGAACCCTCCACCTTCCATAGAGTTCCAACGTGCATGCCAGAAGACGTGGCCGACTCTTTGCTCAAGGACTCGGCCTTCCGAATCGCGTAGTTCCTGGTCTTCTGGTTTTGGGCCCTGAAGGCCTTCGCGATGACTGTCTTGCCCTCTAAGTTGAAAAAGCTCCTGAGGGCCGCCGACTCGGAACACTGAATATTTTGAAGCGTCAGGGCTGCAGAACTCAATCCAAGAACCTGTCGGAAGTTTCTGGTTTTTGTAAGGACCAAGAACATCGTTTCTGAAACCACACCGGGCGAAAAGACGGGGAATCACTCTTCACGTGCATCTCCATTTGTTGGGCTGGGACTGCTCCGACACCGCATCTGGCCAGCCAGCAAAAGCAACTCGGCGGAGAGCGATATCAAGACGATTGACGGTATTCAGGTCCTGGATCGCAGGCGAAGAAGAAGACTGCGAAGCAGAAGGAGGAAACGTTTCTATCTCGGTCGCGCGCTTGTCGAGGGCGTCTAGAGGGTTTTTGACAGGGTTGATGGCCGCCGACACCGAGGAGTTGATCTCCTGCCGGAGTTTCTTCTTGGTCTCCGAAACCACCGATTGGATCACCTTCCTGAGGCCACTCGTGATCTCCTCCAGGTCGCGCATCAAGGCCATCTTGCCAATTTTACTTGACAGGGCGCCAATGAGCCGGAAGATCGCACGGTTGCCCGCGTCGTTACTAGAAGCAGCGCCAGTAAAACTGGATGTGGCATCCAAGTCGGATTTATCAGCCTTCTGTTTGATTTGTCCTAATTTCGCTTTCTCTGGGGACTGGGACGGACCACGCTTACCGGCAGCCTTCGAGAAAACATCTTGGAGGCTCCTCTGAGAGTCACCCAATAGCAAGTAAGCAGTGAGGGAGGGATGACAGTACACTATGAGGATTGCTGCGGCTGCTAAGCGGCAGCATGAGCCACGCTTAAGCCAAACTTGAGCCATCCGGGATGTGCCCCGAGGGCCTTCATACCCGAAGAATCGCACCTGGGCAATTTCTTCATAATTTTTGAATATTCCTCGAGGGACGTGCCCGACTGAAGGCAAGGCCACGATGGGCCGGATCGGCTCAGGGTGGCGCGGCACCGAGCAAGCGGGCTCGCGCGACGCTGCGCCCCTCCCTTCCGGGAAAAGGGGGGCCGCGATGCCCAGCAGCAGACATGGTCCAAAGTCGACAGCGGCTCCTGTTTTGGGCAGGTGAGCGTTTCTTTATTCGGCGTTTCGACACTGGGCGGATTGGGGGGGGGGGGGGGGGTCTGGCTCCGGACCTCTGCTATAGTGCGACTGCTTGAGGGCCGCGCGTCCTCTGGGGGAGGCTCCACCCGCTCGAAACAAGCGCCAAAAGCCAGCCAAGATCTGCTCCACGGGGGTGCGGGGGGGTGCGAGGGCCTGCGCCGACGGCGAGTCTTGTCTGTCATGAGCAGGAGCTGCTGCCGGTCTTCGTACCCATTATCTCCGGTAGTAGAAGTAGTAGCAGTAGTAGTAGTAGTAGTAGTAGTAGTAGTAGTAGTAGTAGTAGTAGTAGTAGTAGTAGTAGTAGTAGTAGTAGTAGTAGTAGTAGTAGTAGTAGTAGTAGTAGTAGTAGTAGTAGTAGTGTCTTGGCGGCGCGCCCAGGGTGGAAACGAGAAGGGGCGGGCCCTCTCAGAAGGCCCGGGCGTCCCCTCTGAGAAGGCATCTGAGCCTTCCCCGAAGACACAGAAGACTTCTCTCCGAAGGCGCGAGGGCTTCCGAGAAGCCCCCGCCGCCTTCCGAGAAGCCCTTCTCCTTCTCGTTTCCCCCCCTCGCTCGTCGCCGAACCTTGTTCGTGCCGATGCCTTGCCCACGCCTCTCCTTCGTCTGCTTCTGCGCTCTTCACCTGCGCTTGATGTCACCCCTCCCGCGCCTCTCCTCCCGGCCCTCGCCTGCCACCACGATCCCCACCCGCTCCCCCCCGAGGGGACCACTCGAGCAGCCTCTGGGCATCTGCAAACGGGGCGGAGGAGCGGCTGGCACAGTGTCCTCACAGACCACCCTTCGGGTGATTGGAGGTTTCGGGGCGAGGAGCCTGCCTTTCGCCACACGCGCCAGCTGCAGCTGGATCTGCATGTCGATTGCATTTCGACTGCGATAGAATTTGCACTGCTATGCGCATTCCGATTGCAATTGTATGGCTCTTCGGCCTTCATTTCGCTTAGAATTGAATGTGCATTTCGAGACGAAGATCGTTTACAATTGGACCTGCACGTGTTGGATTTCCATAGGGACAAACGCGGGGCAAACCACGAGATCACCCACAGGACAAATCACTGGACAACCACAGGACAAGCCGCGGAACAACCACTGCGGCCACCGCGAGACACCAGAGAAGAAACTGTGTGTCCGACGTGGCCCTAGCCTCAGCCGACATGTGACACATCATCGCCCTCGCGCGGCGTCGCCTCGCCCGCACACACGACGCAAAGCGAAACCGAACCATAATTCCAAGGTCTCCGACCCCTTGCAGTTGATATTATCCTCAACAACCTGCTTCGAAAGAGGGATGCTATAAAGGCCTCTTAGATGGGGCTCGGGCACATGAAATCGGAGGATCGCTCCGCATCGCCGGTAAATCGGCGATGCACCGGCGACGTCGGCAATGCATCGGCGCCGTCGGTGTGGAGAACATCGGACTCCACTTCGAGCCGCGTCGGCGATGCATCGGCGATGCGGCGCGATCCTCCGGCACCCGTCTGCTCGGACCTCGACTGGGAGGACCGGATGCGAGCGCAACTTGCCGACAGCTGTGGCGATCATGGGAGGGGGACGTCGGCGAGTAACTACTGGCGACGGCCTGGTGGGATAAAGCTTGGGATTGTAGAACCTCGGCACCGGCCGGACAGCTGAGGAGGGGAGAAGTCTGGACGGCAATGCGTGATCAAGGCTGTATCACTGCATTCGACACTCCCACATCCATTCCTGCATCGATCCGTGAGTGAACTAAGTCGGCCACTTATTGAGGCGGTTCTTCGCGAAGAGCAGGATCTTTGGCGCGAGCGCGCGCCAAACTGCCACTCACTCGTGGAGCGCTCTCAGGACTGGAGCCGCCCTCTGCACCCGTGTCGCTGGACTCCCTCACTGCATCTCCTCCTCCAACGAGCCCAGCCGCAAGGTCAAACTCGCCGCTGCCTGACAAATGTCCCTCGACGGCCATCTCCGTTTCCCTCCTCCTCCTCCTCCTCCTCTTCCTCCTCCTCCTCCTTCTCATCGTCATCCTCATCCTCATCCTCATCCTCATCCTCATCCTCATCCTCATCCTCATCCTCCTCATCCTCCTCATCCTCCTCATCCTCCTCATCAGCATCATCATCATCATCATCATCATCATCATCATCATCATCATCATCATCATCACCATCATCATCATCATCATCATCATCATCATCATCATCATCATCATCATCATCATCATCATCAGCATCAGCATCAGCATCAGCATCATCATCATCATCATCACTCCTTCCGTTCTCTACTCCTCCCCATCATCATCCATCTGGTCCACTGCTGCGGCGACGGTGGCAGTAGAAGCCAGAGAGAGAGAGAAAGAGAGAGAGAGAGAGAGAGAGAGCTCACGCACTCATTCCCCTGCGCATGGGACAGGTTCTCGGTCGCGGCTGGGGCGCCTCCTTGGTGGCCTTGCTCTCCTGGCGCGGTCTGCGAGAGCCAGGAGCTCCAAGGATGAAAGGCACCCCAGGCCTCCGCATCCCTCCTGCATCATGCCTGCTCCTGGATCAGAACCTTAACCCTCGCTCATCACTCGTCCCTTCTTCCCCTGTTCCTTCTATTCCTCCTCCTCCTCCTGCTCCTCCTGCTCCTCCTCCTCATCCTGCTCCTTTTCCACGCTCGCTCCGCAGTTGCGCGGTCCAGTCCGTCGCCTCTTCTGCCCACCTGTCCACGTGATGCCAGCCTCGCGACACACTGCTCCTTGCACCACCAGCGCACCACGCAGCGCAGATCAGCCATGACCTTCGGTGGTAACTCGCGGGAGCGTCCCATACCATATCGTCGGATCGTTCGAATCGACGCTGATCGACGCGAACTCGACACTGATCGACGCTGCATCGACGCTAATCGACGCTGACCGACGCTATATCGGCGCTATCTCATCGACTCCAGACGCTCATCGACGCTCATCGACGCTAAAGACAGAACTAGGAGGGTACACCAGGCTCCCATGATTTTGACTACCTACCAGGCCACCCCAACCCAACCCGAATACCCGAATTTCGTTTTTTTTTGGGGGGGGGTACGGGTTCCACGTGTGTTCTTTCAGTGTTCCCCCGACCCCCCCCACGCACACTGGAAATGGAGAGCACATACTGGGGCCGTCGGTCTGGCTTGGGGTGGTTTGGTGGGTGGTGAGATTTGCCCCCGAACTTTTTGGACGCCCGAAATGGGTACGGAAAAAATGGGTACGATGCCCAACAACGCATGTTGTCCCGAACCAACAGCGGCCGCTGTTGGGCAGGCGGCCTTCTGCCTCGAATGGACACAGGCCGCGGCGGCGTGGACAGCGAATCCTGTTCAAGATGAACAGGGACTGCTGTTCGGCATTGTACCCATTCTTTCCGTACCAGAAGAGGAGGAGGGAGGAGGAGGAGGAGGGTGAGGAGGGTGAGGACGGTGAGGAGGGTGAGGAGGAGGAGGAGGAGGAGGAGGAGGAGGAGGAGGAGAAGGAGGAGGAGGAGGAGGAGGAGGAGGAGGGGGTCCAGAAACATGACCCGCAGGTCAGGGTGGGGCCGGGTGCTGCATGCCGTGGTCCGCCCCGGGCGCCCCGACGGCCCGCAGCCGGCCACCCGCGACGTCGTCGTGCGGAGTGCCGCCGCGGAGGGACGAGCGGAAGAAGCTCGCCCCGCTGTTGTTCCGACATCGTCTCCATGGGGCGAGAAGATGAGACGGTGGAGGGGGGGGCAGAGGGACAGGGAGAGCGAGAGAGGCATAGAGGGTGCAGAGAGTGTGATCAGACGTCACGTTTGACGAGAGAGAGAGAGAGAGAGGGAGAGAAGAGGAGAGAGAGAGAGAAAGGGAGGGAGAAAAAGGAAACAAACATGCATAGTTGTACAGATGCGGAGAGGGGAGAGGGAGGGAGGGAGAGAGAAGAGAGGGAGAGAGAAAGAGAGATAACACACACACACACACAAACACATAGAAAGTGAGAGAGAGAGAGGAAAAACAACACATGCCGACTAGTGTACACAGAGGGATATATATATATAGAGAGAGAGAGACATAGACAGAGAGAGAGAGAGAAAACAAACAGAGAGAGAGAGAGACACAACCACAATATCTGATATCGAGGGACTGTTTACATACATATGTATTTATATATGTATATATATAGAGAGAGAAAGAAAAACAGAGAGAAAGAGAGAGACACAGAGAGACAGAGGAAGAACGATAGAGAGAGAGAGAGAGAAAGAGAGATACCGAGGGAGAGCGAGAGAGAGAGAGAGAAAGAGAGAGAGAGAGAGAGATACCGACCCATGATCCGAACACTGGTCCGCGAGAGCCACCGCGCGTGCCCCTCTCAGACGCCGCACTCGGCCGAGAAAAGAGCTCAGCTCCAGTCACAGGCTGAGGGCCCACGGGCGCCTCAAGGCTCCCGACACTCCTCCATCAGCGGCTGCTCCTCCTCCTCCTCCTTCTCCTCCTCCTCCTACTACTACTACTACTACTACTACTACTACTTTCCTTGCAACCAGTCTCCTACTCCTACTTCCCCCCCTCTTGCTCTCTCCTCCCTCTCCTCCCCCTCCTCCTCCTCCTCCCTCTCCCTCCTCCTCCTCCTCCTCCTCCCTCCTCCTCCTCCCTCCTACCTCCTCCTTCCTACCTTCCTCCTCCTCCTCCTCCTCCCCCCACCCCCCCTCCCCTCCTCCCGCCGTTCTCCTCATCGCTCCTCCTACGCCCCCATACTCCCTGTCCCCTCCTCCTCCTGCTCTTCCTCCTCCTCCTCCCTCCCTCCTCCTCCGCTCCCTCCTCCTCCTCCTCCCTCTCTCCCCCTCCTTCCCCTCCTCCTCCTCCTCCTCCTCGCCCCTCCTCCGCCCTCCTCCTCCTCCTCCTCCTCCTGCCCCAACTCCCTTCCTCCTCCATCTATCTCCATCTCTATCTCCATCTCCGTGTCCTCCTCCTCCGCTTCCGCCTCCTCAGACCCTCTCCTCCTCCTATTCCCCTACTCCTCCCCTCCTCCTCCCCTCCTCCTCCTCCTCCTGCTCCTCCCCTCCCCTCCTCCTATTCCTCTCCCCCTCCTCCGCCTCCTCTCCTCCTCCTCCTCCTCCCTCCTCCGCCTCCTCCGCCTCTGCCTTCCGCCTCCTTCTCCTCCTCCTCCGCCTCCTCCTCCTGCTTCTCCTCCTCCTCCTCCTCCTCCTCCTCCTCCTCTCCTCATCCTCCTAATGTTTATCCTTCTCCTCCTCCTCCTCCTCCTCCTCCTCCTCCTCCTCCTTCTCCTCCTCCGAGGATTGAGGACTTGGGCGCCAGGGCGCGCGGCGCTCCTCGATCAGTTGCTTGTACTCTGCGTTCTGTTCCTTGCGCAGCTTGGTGGCCTGCCCGGGGCTGGGGGGGTCCGGGTGGGCCAGAGCACCGTTCACACTTCCCTCTCGCTCCTCCTCCTCCTCCTCCTCCTCCTCCTCAGCAGTTCCGCGCCCGAGCGGCCCCTCCCTGCGTGGGCCTGCCTGGGCGCTCCCGAAGCAAAATTCGGAGCGGCGATGCTTCGGGGAGCCGTCCGGCATCAAGAAGCATGGTGCCGCCAAGAAGCGGCTGCGCCAGGCGTGGAGTAACCGTGAAGAGGCGCATGCAGAGGCGCCAGGTTTTCTTCTCTTCCTTTCGTCCTCTCCTCTCGCGCGTCCCCCTCCTCCTCTTTCCCGTCCTTCTGGCGCGCACCGGTGATACCTCACAGCACACTGGAATATAATCGCGAAGGCCCGACGCCTTCATCAGAAGCAGTGCTGGAACCAGAGTGTGCGAGAAGAGCGAGAAGTGGCAGCAGACGTTGGCCCGCCTCCGCGAGCGGGCGAGAGTCGGAATACAGCCCGACGTCCTCAGTTACAGCGTTGGAACCAGCGCATGCGGGAAAGGCGAGCAGTGGCAGCAGGCTCTGGCTGGATTGCGAGAGGCCCGAGGCAGGCAGTCGCGGCAGACGCTGGCACTACGAGGGCAGTGCACGTGGGCCATGATCAGCAACGACGCTGGGAGCAGCCCGTGAAAGAAAGGGGGGCGTGCAGTGGCAGCCGAAGCTGGCTCTGCGAGGAAAGTGCGGGTGGGCCACGATCAGCTGCAGCGCTGGGAGCAGTCCGCGCGAGAAAGGGGGTGCGCAGTGGCAGGCACCGCTGGCACTGAGCGAAACGTGCGGGTGGGCAAATATCAGTTACAACGCTGGGAGCAGTCCATGCCATAAAGGGGGCGCGCAGTAGGGGAAACTGGAGCCCGACAGGCGAAGGACGAGCCTGCCGTCATCAACTACAGTGCTGGGCTCATGGCATGCGTTTCGAAATCGAGCCCCATGTCTTGAGCTACACCCGACGGGTCGCGGGAGGCTGGAGGCGGAGTCGGCGCCCGACGTGGGCACGCAAGTCGAAGGACGAGCCCGATGCCATCAGCTACATCCGACGAGCGCGGAGAGGCTGGAGGCGAAGACGGAATCAAAAAAAAACGGGTGGGCCACGATCAGCAACGCTAGGGGCAGCCCGTGAAAGAAAGGGGGCATCCAGTGGCAGCGGACGCTGGCGCTGCGCAAGAACGGCTGCGAGAAGCGGGGGGTGAAGGTAGAGCCCGATGGCGATTCGCTCCCTTGTCGCTGCGGCTGGGCGCGGACGAAAGCTGACCGGCTCCGATAACACTGCGAGAACGTGGAAGGAAGCTGGAGCCAGAGTCTCGAGGGAGACACCTCTGAGCTGCAACGCTAGAATCAACTCGTGCGAGAAGGGGAAAACAAGCAATGGCAGCAAGGACTGTCAGGCGTGTGAGCCGTGTTTTAGGACGAGCTTTTCTGACGGTCAGTGTAAATGGACGGTATTTGTGAAGGAGACATCCGCCATCCCGAACGAGAACGGCCAAGGGTAGACTGATTCGTTATGGGAATAAGGCCAGTCACCAGGAGCGCCTATGTAAGAACGGCTTGCAAGGCGCGAGGAGTCGTGCTTCGTGTTTTCCAGCGTAGTGTTCGACCTAAGTAGCGCAATCCATCACAATCCTCCTCCTCCTCCACCTCCTCCTCCTGTTCCTCCTCCTCCTCGTCCTCCTCCTCCTCCACCTCCTCCTCCTGCTCCTCCTCTTCCTCCTCGTCATCCTCCTCCTCATCCTCCTTTTCCTCCTGCCCCTCCTCCTCCTCCTCCTCCTCCTCCTCCTTCGCATCCGCCTCCTCCTCCTGCTCCTCCTCCGCCTCCTTTTTTGCTAGAGACAGCCTTCCCACCACACTCCATGAGCAAAGCGGGCGCTCGTGGTTCAACCACGCGAGAATTAATGCCAACCAAAAATCAACTGGCTCAATACGGGGCCTCTCCGCTGAGGAGGTCCCCCCAGTCAGACATGAGGTCCCCAGGAATCCAGGCCTGAGAAATGCGGCCCTGGGGTCCGCGGGGCCAAGGAAGCTGTCCTTTGATCAGCATTTTTACTTGTCTTGGCTCAAGGTTGGTACATCCGCCCACCAGGTCTTTTGCTTGGCGGCCCGTGGTGTATGAACCACAGCGACGGCAGAAGACACAACCAAGGCCAGACTGAAACACACGTGCAATCCTGAGATCGTGGGCGGGCGAGGGAGGGACAGGAGGGGCAAGGAGGGCACGGATGGTGGAGGGGATAGGCCCGCATTCAGACAGGTCCGCACGACGGCAATTCTTGAAATAACGAAAACATTTAACACATTGCCACCTGCAGTTCGCCCACCGCACATCGTGGGCTAGCAGGCAGCCTTTGACAGGTCGGGAAACTTTGACTCTACTCAAATATCCGAAAAGATCGCGAGCCCTAGGCCACGCTTGAAGCACAGTTACCATGGCACCAACCACCGCAAAGAAACCTTCGCGCGCTTCCGTGACCTTGGCAATGTCTACGGCCGAGGAAAAAAGCCCCCGCACTCTCTTTGGCAAATGCATGCGCCCAAATGTCCCCTCGGGTTTCCCAAGCGACTTGATTTAAGTCGGCCTCACTCAGATGGGCTTTCACCTTAAGTGTCGACCAGCTTTTTGCCCCCGCTAACTTTATGCGCCGCCAGTGGCCCGCCTGGGCCGCCCTCTTCTGGGCCCCGCGGGTAACGTCCTGGGCTCCCCAAACCACAGCGGCGCAATCCAGGTGAAAATGCTGGCCCTCTGAGCTGGTCTCAATATGCTCTACCATATTCATCAAGGCATGGTGCTCTGTGAGGACGGCGGTCTGCGGCAGGCTGCTGGGGATACTCCCACGCATTCCTCTGATCAGATTGCCCTCCTCATCCGTCTCGATGGCAGACCAACCTCCTCTGGCGAGCAGTTCACACTTGGGCTCCACCACTGACCCATCTCCGAAGACTATGGCCCCGCTCTGAAACCTGAACGGGTCGATCGGCCCGTCAGCGTTGAAATAGTGCACCTGGTCCTCGGACGGTCCTGGCACTTCTATCTCTGGTGTCGGAACCCAAAGTGAGGAATAGATAGGGTCCTCTTCACCTGCCCTCACAGCGGCCTCAACAATCATTGGGTCAAGGCCCGCTCTCAGAGGTTCGCCGTGGGGGCAGCTCCACGCTCTGTGCCACGTCGTGTCCAAGGCAGGGCAGAAACTGCACTTGGGCGATATGGCAAACCCCCAACGGTGCAGTGAAGAGGCCGTCGTATATGATCTACAAAACAGCTTCCTGGCGATGTCTTTTCCCTGGGCGTTCAGATCCTTCGATTTCAGCAACCACTGGATGGGCTCGGTCCAAAGGCCCCTCAACTTGATGTCCAGGGCCCTGGGGTGGTTTTCCCGTTCCAGCAACCGCAACGTGGTATCGTCCAGGAGCTTCTTCTTCAAATCCTGAATGAAAATCTTCTGCACTAGCGTAGGTGGGGAGTCGGTGAGCCGAACCTGTGCCCCATCCCGTGATGTAAATGAAGCAGGCCCTGTATACGTCCACCCCGCTTCGACTCCCCACAAAAGTGCGTCAAGGATGGGATGTGTGCCTCGGCGCCTCCATCCCTGTGATACAGGCATGGCCGCCAGCCTCTGCAGGCAGCCGTGGCAAGCCTTCGACAACTGGCCTGCCGATAGGCCATCAGCCGCTCGAATGTCATCATCTCCCGCCTCCCACCATTCCCTAGCATACCGTACCACCGTGTCACCAGCATGTAGGATAGGGTCCTTGGAGGGGGAAGTGGCCCAGATCAGGTCTATGGAGGCTCCAGAGCTCCAGATACCTAGCGCCTTTGCCCCCAATACTCGCAGCCTGTGCACATCCTTGGCCGACAAAGCGACCACGTCGCTGCCGTACGTGATGCTCGGCTTCTGGCCCATGAAAACAACTTGGCTTTGGCTCCAGCTTTACAACGCATCCCCTTGATTTTTGGCATCCTCCTGAGGGCATTGGCCCATCAGGCCCTGCGTTTTACCAGTCGGCCAGGGGTCCCAGACGGCAGAGTCCTGGTCGAACGCTTCTTCCCGAGGGCACCCACCGAGAAGTCCACCCCCATGTTCACAACTTCCCCCGCCAGAGTGAAACCGTACATGCCCAGGGCTTGTGGAGCCAAATCCATAACCTCCTGGTTGTTGGTCGTGAAGCAACCTTTCTTCAATGCGATAGGTAGCCCCAGCCTGTACGAGCACGCCTCAATCAACTGGCTCGCAATACTGCCTAGGCGATTGAGGCACTCCATCGGCACCATATGGTGCGAGTCAACCTCCAAATCATCAACGTGAATAGTGAAACTCGTCCCCTCCACCTCCTTGATCCCTTCCACAGTCGGAACCATGTACCCCTTGATCTCAAATGTGGCGGTGCTAGATCCCGCTACGATCCCCCTGGTGGGGTACAGCAGAGGGGAGCAAACTCTCTCCATGGTGAGAACACGCGGCCACGTGTAGCTATCGATGGCAAGCCGCAGACAGTGTAAAGGATAAGACGTCCCACTACACTCATTCCACAGCTGCTCGTGGCCGACGTGCTCGTAGCACTGCTTCAAATCGCATAGCAGAGTGCTGGCCGCTTCACCTGTGTCATCGGCAAGAGCGGACCTAACAGCTTGGCGCCAAACCCCGTCGGTGGTAGACCTGCCAGGCCCCATGTTGAAAGCCTTCAGGTGTCTCACAGAGCCCTCTCAGGTTTTACAGTCCCGACTCAGCACCTTGGAAACCATCCTGGAATAGTTCTGGAATAAACCAATCGGTCTCCCCCGACACAGGCTTCTCGAACAATTGGACCAGAAGGACGCGGAGCTGGGTGGGCCCTTTTCCCAGTGCCACCTGCACAGACATGAGGCGAGACATAACCTGGAGCGCGGCAGGGCACAGCAGGCTGAAGTGTCTCGGGTGGATCCCGTCCGTGGCGATGGTGTGCTTCTTAAACCCACTTGATATTCTCCTGAGGTCTTCACCATCA